ACCTACAATGCGAAGAGATGGCGCTGCCTTGCAGCTTAAGGCTAGGAAAATTTCGACGCGGCTAATAGGGCCGTGGTAGCATAATGGTCAGTGCATTCGCCCGGATAGCGAAGGATGCGGGTTCGAGTCCCGTCCGCTGCCTGGTCCGCGTGGATTTTTTTCTAGTAAACTACCCTATTATAGTTTTTTTAAGCATTTAACTGCTAGATGTTTTTAATCTTAAGAAAATTTTCTTTAGGTTTTGGTTTATAGGTTACTTTAACTTAAAATAACACTTGGTACCTTTTGATGATGTTGGTGAGTAAGTCCAGGGCTCCAAGGAGTAGGGGATTTGGATTAGGGCGGGCTAACCTGAACTCTCTCGGCCAAGAAGTTGACACTTCAAACTAGGTTAGGGTATGTAAGTGTTGCGCCAGGCAAAGAGCCAAAAAAACATAGTTGAAATTATATGCCAGTTCACGCTTGACAGTTCTTTATTCACCACACAGTCCACACAATAGGGGTGATGACGGGGTACAGGAAACGAAATTCTATTATTCCGTCAGTTAGATGATCAAAAAATAATGGACACGTATTTTTTCTTTGGGCAATCAACCAAAAAATGACAAAGTTAGAGCGCGTCAAAGTTTGGGAGTAGGGACTCGTGACGTCACTTTTGAGTGAATTTTCCCTTACAAGTGTATGCAAACGTGTCGTCATACGACTTTTCAAATCAATATATCTCAGCAATGTTTATATTATGTGAAAAAAGAAAAAATACGTGTCCAATACTTTTTGATAATCTACCTGATAAACGAAGAAAAAAAATTAGTCATCATCCCTATAAACACACAATGTTAATTACAAAACGCTCATTAAACACTGTATTTCACTATACAAGTCTCTAAACAATCACAAAAAAAAAACGAAAAATGGTTCTTGATAAGAAATTTTTCAACAAAAAAATGTGAAGTGTCAACTCTTGGGCCCAGAAAGTACAGTTTTACCTTAGGGAGGCATAACGAGGATGGCTGGAGCGGCACTCTTTTCTGCCACATTAGCTTTCCTTACAGCTGGACTTGTATTGGTGAGAGTCCTAAATTACCTAAATTATTCACAATTCAATGAAAGAAATCATATTTATAATTCCATGAAAAAATATTTGACTAGGTATTGTGAATGTATAGGTATTTCAGTTCATGCTGACGCAACAAAGAAATTGTTAATAAATATTTAAGTATGAATTTAATTAATTACGAAATCAAACGATGTTGTATTGCTTATTAATCCATTTAATTTAATTTATACATTTTTTTTAAATAAAATCAAGTATTGCACATAGTAATTATTACTTAATATCTAATTCAATTACTGATAAAGAACTTAGGCACTCACGAGTAATGGCAGAGAGCACAATTAAATAGTTTAGTTAAAAAAATATTTTAAATAGAAATATAGTGTAATATATTTATTACACTATATGTATTTTCATTTAAAAGTATTTTTTTACAAACAATATTTCAAAAAAAGTTTATATTTAAGTACTATTACTAAAAAAACAGCCCAGATAACGTCTTATTTTTTAAGAATCGGTAATGTGAATTCCAAATAATATTGCAAGTTATTGCCCATACGGATATGGTAATTTGTATGTATTACAAAATAAATGAAACTGTACCCTTAATACGAGTTTGAGCTCACGAAAACTTTCATAGTTTTCGTAATTGTAAATTATGTTTCTATGTCCATTTTGGGAAAAGTAACCAAATATCCTTAAAAATTAAGAAGACGCAAACGATTTAATGGTAGAATTTAAACACTGTTTATTGGTATTGAAACGAAAACAATAAAATCAGTACCCTTAGTACGAGTGCGAGCTCACGAAAACTAGTTTTCGTAATTGTAAAACTCGTATTAAGGGTACTGTAATTTAATTACCAATTGCGTAATTTAAATTACAAATGAAACTGTACCTAAATTATATTAACCATAAGTATTAAAAGTATGTCGTTTGAATAGCGCCAAGTTAGAAAAGTTTGTGATTTTGCTATCTTTTTCAATCCAAGTACGACTTTTTGTATAAATAAATAAAAATCAGTGCGTTTAACCCGTTGAAACTTGTTTTATTTAATGAGTGTTGTGCGTGAAAACCTATGAAACAAATATGTCAATAGGTAAATTCAGACCCGTCTTTCCCAGTGGGCACTTTGGGCAAGGGTCCAGGGCCCCCCGATCGATAGGGGGGCCCCTCAGATCTAATACAAAGTCCCTAGTTCCTGTTAAATCACCAAACGGAAGTCAAATTCATTCCCATTATCCTAATATGCCCAAGCCCTCCAATAGCTCAAGCTCAATAAGACGGCACTGGGTAAATTGAATAAGTCATCGTAGGATGCAATGTAATTTAAATACATATTATTTAAAGTCTTTTATTTTATGCCATATCGAAGTTATGTACTTACTCAACTACTTAAGATTTGATTTTAATAAATATTCTATTTACATATAAATATTTCTTTCACTTAATTTACTGACTAATTGTTTATTGTAGGTATGATATAATCCCTACGTAATCGTTATTTATATAAAAGTATATTTATCAATTTTAGGTACCTTTGCCACTTTTTTAAAGGTCTTTATTACAGAGTTAGATCGAACCACGAAAAAACGTTACCTATACAAATAGGTTGCCAATTTTATTAACAACCATTATTTTTTAGTATGTACATTGAAATTAATATCGAACAGAGGTATTTTTGTAAGCCGAGATGTTTCTACAGCTGAAATTGGGTGAATAAAATTTTATTTATTTTATTCTAATAAATTATGATAAATGACACATAGAAACGCAATATCACGGTAATATTATCTATACAGTATTGTGACTCGGCCCTGTCCTTGAAATAACTGCCTACGGCCGAGCGGGGCGTATCCACGCGGTAGGGCTGCCCGCCTACAGTATTTCAATTTCATCTACGTAATATTTTGACAAGAATATCAACCACAAAATGGCTTATTCAATATTACCGGACTGTACGTTTCTCACTCGTGTGATATTACGATAGAAAAACTGATTTTTCTAATATAAATAATTTTATTTATGACGCAACATAAAATTATATTAGAAATAGAATAATACTATGATGGTTTATCCTACTAGGCAGCCCTAATACTTAAACTAGCGGAAAATCGTTCCCTTTCTCGAAATTACATTCAGGAACTCTACTCTCTTTCTAGGAAACGAAATTTCGGCAACGAAAGGATTTTAAAGGAAATTTCGGCAGTGACTCTACTCTATTTCATTTTCGAACACGCACATAAAGTTCGGAATCAATAACAATTTTCGTGAACGTATGTTTGTGACTGCTTTTTATCTCCACTTTTTAGATTACGATTTTTACTTGACTGCTAGTGCTAGCTGACTAATTTGTAGAGTTAATGCAATCGATTGTATGTCAACCTGTCGCGTAATACTTTGAAGTATTGGAAATACAAAAAATTATAAGAATTTGGTGTATTTTTTAATTTTACATGCAAAGTAATGTTCTTCATGCTAAGCAGCAATGAAAAATACTGTAGCAGTCAAATTAGACTTAATAAAAACAAAAATCCCAAAACGAAAATGAAAAGGTAATGAGTGATGTGCGTGAAAATCTAAGAAACAAATAAGGTAAGACTTTTTATTTTAGGTTAAAATTTCAAACAATTATTTGTCAAATTCAAGCTTGAAAGTATTGTAAATCGAGTAGGCTTGGAAAATTTAACAGACAAAATATTTTCGAACGAACGAATTTTCGAAATGAAACAGAAACGGAGTAAGGAACATGAGAAATTTCGATTAAAAATTCTTTTTTCGTTGAAGTAGAGTAGGCCTCCAGTTCAGCATAGGTATTCTGTAAGACGCAATCTCACTTACCTTAAACATAGTTTATTAGGATTTCTGACAAATGTCAAATATCTAGCTTCTACCCTGCTGTCCTCAAACAAAAGTGGGGCTAAGTGACATGTGGTCGATTTTTCAGTCTTTAATTGCATCTTATACAGTTTTAATTATCTATCGATCTGTCTTAAACAAGTATTCGCGGCTTTTACAGTTTAAGTCCTAAAATCCGTTATGTGCTAAATGGTTGGTTACAATATAGCAATAATTTAAAGTTTACGTGCCGTTTTTTTATTTTATTTTATTCCATATCTCAAAAGTTGGTTTTGTCATTTAGCCGCGTTTTAGCTTGAGGACGGCAGTACAGACATAGCGACATTTAGCCGTGTAATGGCGTAACGCATATCAAACTAATGTCTTAAATAGCAGCTACCGAAATTGGAAGTGAGATTTTATTTTACAGATTCGCCCTACTATTCAAACCTCAGAATATGCTGCTGTTATTGTTTTTAGATAAGTTTGCATCAAAATAATAAAAAGTTTTTCATGACTACGAAGAGAAATTAGTCGCAAAAAATCAGTTTGAACAATTCGTCGAGTGTTTAAAAGGAAATTAATTAAATTTTATGCGTAATTGTGTAGTGAAGATAACGTTGAAAACTTAACATTTAATAGACAAATGATTTTCAGCTTCTGTAGTTGGGTTCAAAGTATTTCCAAGTTTTAACAACGTTTACACAGATTTTTGACTATTTGTGATGTCATAACGTGCATCTTTTAGTTCACTTTCTCAGTGTTGTTCCTTACATCGTTGAAAGCACCGCACAGCAATTAAACGCCAATAAATACCTAATTCTTGAAATTATTTGCACGAGAATATCTGTTAATGTTGCATGATTGCGCTTTGTTCTGAGTCTACTCAGTTCTCTTCTCTGCGGGCACTTAAAGATAGCCACATAACAAGTTGTCCAAAACTGTCACATTTCTCCAAAAAGCTTTGAGCTTCAGCTTTAAAATCCATTTAGGGAATTAATGTGTGTAGGTGGTAACTTGATGTGTGGCTGTCTGTGTATTATCGTAGTATTGTCTCAGTAGTTCCTAACAGCGTCTATAGCTGTACACAACTTCTGTATAGAAGTACGCAGCGTATTCTCTTCAATCGCTAAATTCTGTCGCTCGGCGAGCAGCGCGCGCGCACGGTCCGAGTCCCTTGACGCGGCGCGAGTCACGTGCGCGCACTCCACTCGTAGGGACGTGTTGCGACGGTGCAGGTCCGCTATCTCCCTCCTGCGCGCTGGAATGGAGAAGGAAAGAAAGTGAGAATAACAGAAATATTCGTTAAAAACATCATCTTCATTAGTCTAATAATGTCCCCACTGGGGGGGGGGGGGGGGGTCAGAAAAAAATAACACAGAGCACACACAGGAACGCACGTACGCACGCACACACATACACACACACGTATTTATAACCAGGTTAAAGCTATTCCCTTTTCTGCTCTTTGCCAATCTTTCCCTACAGTATTTTTAATTAAACTTTTATACGAATGCGTATTTATTATACTAGTAAATTTAATAATAAAGCTTTTTGTACGTGTCAGTCGAGGCGTAAATATATTTCTTTCTCAAATCTATATTTTTTTTATATTAAATATTATCTAAAAATAACATGTATTTTATTGAACACTTCCTTATTCATTCAGAAGATTTTTTTTACATATAAAATAAAATATTTACAATCACAAAACTAGAAAGAAACTTAATTATGTAGATGAAATTAAAATACTGTAGGCCCTACCGCGTGTTTATGCCCCGCTCGGCCGTAGCACGCACGGTAATATAATAATATTACCGTGGCCGTAGGCAGTTATTTCAAGGACAGGGCCGAGTTACAATACTGTATAGATAATATTACCGTGAACCAGGTATGCGCTTTCACGGCAAAAACGTCGCTATTCTTGGTGTCTCTTTTCTTTGTCGCACTATCTGTAAATGGAATGCTCTGCCTGCTTACTTGTTCCCTCCTTCTTACAACCTGGGATCCTTTAAAAGAGGCGTGAAGAAGCAACATGCAGGCCGGCAAGGTGAGGATGGCTGGAGTGGCAGGTAGAATTGCTGTACCAGCTATCTTCAGATCTGAACTTCACCGTCACTTAACATCAGGTGAAAAAGAGTCATTTGTCGGACATATCTATAAAAAAAATGCTAGGTGGGCCAATAGATGACCGGTTATTTTTCCACATATTCTAATGATGGTAGCAAAAACTTTGAGATCAGGGTAAGGACAATAATAAGAACATCTTACATACCTGCATCAAACTCCTTATAACTCTTCATGACCGTTTCCAATCCCGGCCAGGGCATTGTTTCCTCCACCTGACAACTGAAGTCTTGAACACTGCTCGCTTTCCGTCCTTCCCTAAACATCTCCTTCACCCCCGCAGCGGAGCTCTGTGGTTCGTCCATAGATGTCGCTTGTGTCGAAACCACAGTATTCTGCTCCTGTGTCGTCTTCAACGATATAATCTTAGATATATTAGGTATATTAATACTGGGATAACACTTCTGGTCAATATTTGATTGGGGGTTTTGGATATTCTCGCTGTCGAACCCAGGATTGAGATCTCGTTTCCTAGTCTCCTGGCCACTGAATAGCTTAACGCTTCTGTCGGCCATCTTGGAAAGTCTGTTCAGCTCCGAAAAATTCTTTTCTGCCAACACTCGTATGCTGTCGCCGTCCATGCCATTGGAGTTGGAATCCAATCTCCTTTTGACTAAGTTGTTGTTTTCGTTGACACAGTTCTTGATCTCGGTCAGCATCTTCAGTTGCCCGTTGGTATCCCAGTCCACGTCTTGTCTTGTTTGCTTCACTTTAGCGTCGTTATGGACACCTCCCTCTCGCTGCTTCCTCTCCTTTAGAATGACTTGCCAGACTCTCTCATATCCTGGAATTACAATGTTACTGTGAATTACAAATTTAGATAGGGTCATGTAGGTAATTAAAATTAATTTATTAAAATATTATGGTGGTAGTAAATGTTTTTTTGAAACGCATTTGATTTTTTTTAATTCATATTTATTATTTATTTTATAATAAAATATAAATGTATTCTCAAAATCTCTGAAATGAGTTTTGTGCAAAGATCTGACATCACTTGTAAGGGCGACAGGTAAACATTTAATCACATTAATTCTTGTAATAATCTGGCCATTTATAGACTTTTAATGATTTATATGGAGGAGCTCGATGATGCTAAGCAACTTTCGCAGTGGTCGGTCATTGGATGGGTGACCAAAAATCCTCTATCTCGAGTTCCTCCGTGCTTCGGAAGGCACATTAAGCCGTTGGTCCCGGCTGCATCTGCAGTCGTTAGCACCCGCCAATCCACACTGGGCCTGCCCGATCTCTCTATTCCATCTATAGGGAAAGCCTGTGCCTCAGCAATAGGGACATTAATAGGCTAATGATGATGACGATTTATACACTTCACTTTAATCTCGCTCCCAGTTCATCGTGAAGAAGCCTTTTAAATTAAAATTTTAGGAAAATCTCACCTTCTTTGTATTGTGACGGGACTTGCACCAACTTCAGCTGAGACAGGAACATTTGTTTTCGTTGCAAACTGATGCCATTCTCTGGATCTTTCGGTTTTGTATCATTAATCTTCTTTGGAGCCAGGGCTTTTCTTAAAATAGGCGCTTCTGGTGCGATCTCCTCGTGGACTATTTTATCCAGCCGACCAGCTGCTATGTACGCCGACGCAACAGAGTCGCATCTCAAAATCTTCTCTTGACGCTCTAGCTCTTTTTCTGTAATTAAAAACATATTAATTCCGTTAAAATATTTTTAAACTTACAAATACTAACTCATCTTGCATTGAAAGTTTTCATGTGTTAAATCTATGTGCGATTTAGGTTCGTATGTCTCTAAATCTAATCAAATTGTTTGGTGGTAATCTTCAAAAGCAGTACTTGATCAACAACCGACCTTAATGTATTTATTGATATTATTATGATCCTTAGACAAAAATAATCTGAATTATTATCAAACAGTTGAACAGTCTTTACTGGTGTTTTGGAATGGAAGTTAAAGCTCCTGATTTTGTCTGAGACTGAGGTTGTTTCGGATTGACACCTCGCCTTTGCATGTTTTTTATTATATGTCCTTGTTATGTATGGTGCGGCGTAATCGTTTGTAATAATTTAAAAAAGTTTTTTAAAAGTATTCGATATAGGTATTTATGTAACTGTGTATTGTAATAAGGTCATGTTAGGAATGTTGGAGTTGATTTTTACCTTTGTATGTTTCAAGAGTAGCTAATCTGAGGCAAGACATAAATTCCACTTTTCCGACATCATTTTCTGTTTTCTCAGCGAACTCCTTTATAATTGAGTTGTATTCTTTCAACTCATCTTCACCGTAGTCACTGTCGCTATCACTGACTCCTTCACCTACAGTAACTTTCGAATTAGCGAACTCTTTGAAGATCTCGGCAGTCATTTTTTCCGGAGTTATTATATTTTTACGAATGTCTGTTTTCTCTTTCTCTTGCGATTTCTTTACATCACCTTTTTGTTCTTTTGAATCACGGTTACTCAAATATTTGAGCCGACGCAGTCTTTTTCGTTTCTCGTATATATCTAACGAACTGACTTCGTCGATTTTAGAGATCTTGGGTCTTATATTTGTAATAACTATCTTTGGTTGTAATTTTGAATCCATCTGATAAGGACATGCTATAAAAAGTTTATCAGTTTTATTCTGTTCGAAAGGCTTGGGAAAGTCCTTTTTGTTCTGGCTAACAAATTTAGAATAATCCATATTTATAAATGGCTGGTTCAGCTTATTATCAGATTCGACGATCATTGGGACTTGATATACTATTTGAGGATTCATTATAACTTTCTGATTTGATGTTTGAAATACTAGATCCGTTTTATTATTTTTATTTGACAACGTTTGTAGGACATTATTACTTGACTTCAACACATGTATCTCTTTGCTAACTGTAATATTTGGCGATTTATTAGTTTTTACTTGTGAATTAGAATCTACGTTAGTTACTGTAGTAGTTGATTCTGACACTTTATTTTCATTTGATATTACTTTATTTGCTTTAATTATGTCGTTGTTTTGTGTTACTTTAGAATTATTTTTAATCATCATCAAATTTGCTGGGAATTGTACGTTACTAAGGTATAGAAAATTTGGCTGTAAAACAACGTTTTTTGTCTCATTTTGTATGGGCTTGTCTATTTTAGCCTTATTTTTCAAGTCTTGCTCTTGTAATGTTCCCTGCGACTTCTCCTTCACGACTATCTTATTACCATATATTTGATTCTCTGTAATTAAGTTCTCAAAATCATTTTCATCACAGTTTTCTTGATGGAGCCGTTTTAAAGCAACGACTTTTGACGAGTTGCCGCTGTCATTGACGACTTCTTCTTTACATTTTTTACTTTGGTTTGACAATCGTGAAGGAGCTTGCAGGTTTTTTGAATCGAAGTTAGTTCTTTGAAGTAAAACTTGAGGGTTTTGTTGCTGGATGGTTAGCAACATTTTAGGATTCGATGTATTTTTGTTTTGTATGAACAATATTTGATTTTTTTGTTCGTTAAATGATCCATCTGGTGGTTTATTAACAAAATTATTTTTGTTAGTTTCTACGTTAATGGGGTTGAATAATGGTCTTGAAATAGCATTAGATGCTTGTGTTGTTATCGGTGGAGTTGATGTATCTTTAGCATCATTCGTCACTTCAGATTTAGGATCAGGCTTCTTAAATTGAGCTTCTGTTTTATTAATAGCTTCTGCAGCATTAATAAGTGTGCTAATGCTGTTGTTTTGTGAATTTGGTTTCATTTCTGTATTTTCCGATTCTTGTGCTGTCTTAATAATAATATTGCTTTGTATTTCTACTCTCGAACTGTTGTCAGGCTTGAGATTCGGAAAGGGCTGATTCGCATGTACCTTTTTTGGAACAGCATTTGTAAATATAGGATCTGGTGGTGTATTGACGCATTTTAAATCTAATTTACTTATTGGAATGCTTGTCTTTAAACTAAACCGTTCAGGTGTCTTAGTTTTATTATCTTTGCTAGGTATTTGAGAAGGAATGGTCACCGTTGATCCAGAGCCTTGTGTTAAAGAAGTTATACTTAGTTTGCATTCAGTTTTTTGACTAGTTTCAGTAACAGATACTGCTGGAATGATTTCAGGTGTGAAATGTTCTTCAAAATCAGTTTGTGGCTTAAGTATATCTTTTTGTGAATGACTTGGTTGAGTTTCCATGTCCGGTTTGGTTTCAGTGTTTTTCTTTTCTTCTACTATGATTTCTTTTGTGGCCATCGTTGGAAATGGTACAAAATCGTTGCTGCTAGTTTCGTTTTGTACTATTGGTGCCTGATTGGGTTGTACCACTCCGGGAAAAGACACTGGTTGAAACGCCGAGTATCCTGGTATTGAGTACAAATAGCTGTTGTAGTTTGGGTATCCCGGTTCTGCTTGTTTGGTAGCTGTGACGCTTGGACTAGGGTTGGGTATAGATGATGGGGAGATTTTAGGAGAGTGTGATATAGGTTTTGGTTGACTTAGAAAAGTAGGCTTTTCTAAAAAAGGATTTGGTTCTTCCGTTGGTTTAAATGGCTCCATTGGTTTTGGTAGAGGTGCTATGGGTGTTGCTGGTGGAGGAATGGGGTCTGGTGGTATGGGCGGACGTTCTGGTGGTTCCGTGATGGTAGTTGACAATGGTGTTCCGGGTAGGCTCGATCTGCCTGTAAACACAAAGATTCTTATGAGAACACGAAATATCTTTTTCTTGAAAGAACAACCCGAACCAAGAGAAATCCCGTAAATAACATAAATTACTATAATTTTGGTGACCATGAAATTTAAAACAATTTATCCAAGAGACAGTTTAAAATAAATGACTGCGAATCTCTTCGAACACGTGTATAAGTTAAGATTCTACTGAAAATAAAAACACAAGAAAAGCAGAAGAGACATGCGACTATCTAAAGCGTGTAAGCCAAAGCAAATTGGAATCAATGCAGACAACGGACTTATTGTGCGTTCCAAATTGTGGCATGATCTTTAAATAATTGGGTATAAGAATACTAAGCTACATATTTTTTAGTAATTTCATGCCTCTAGATGAAGCATGGCCCATACGTGGAAAATGTATTAACACGAATGCTAAAGCTGAGCTTTTCAAATTTCTAGGTAGAAAGATTGATCAAAAACGGCGTACTCAATCCTTAGAGGCAGTTGTCAATAATTTTCTAAATGACTTGAATAAGGTAGATCAACAACCATTAAGCAAACAGTTGTCAATAATTTTCTAAATTACTTTAATAAGGTAGAATAACAACTGTTATAGTTATATCCCTATTGATGTTGAATCACCCTGTAGAAAATTTCAACCAGTCACCTTAGGTGACTGGAGCTAAAATTATATAATATAAAGGTTTAAAACATGGTACGATTCAGCCACAGATGGCAATATAATTGGAGTCACTGGAACTTTTTTTTAATGCATATTTACGATAAAATATATTTTTCATTAAAAATCATGATCAACGCTGATTTAAACAAAACTATTTTTAATCGTGTATGAAGCACTATTTATAGATTTTATAACATTATTCCAAAATAGCGATATTGCAGCTTTTTTAAATTGCCAAAATAAAGTATTTCTTGAATTGATATATGGCTATAATGAGAAATCCCTGAATTATATATTTTTTTAGTTTTGTATTGAATACGTTAAACAGACCACTTCGATGAAAAGGCATATTTATTTTATATGTTTCGTTAAGATGTCGCTATTTTAGACCACCACATCTGGTTTTCATGTATAGCATGTAACTGTGAATTGTCGACTTAATATCAAATAGCCTAGAAGTCCCATGTCGATTAAGTGCTGCCAACTCAAGGCCGTAGCCAGAGTTGTATTTAAGATAGGGCAGCGGAAATTACAGGTAGTGTTTATACAGGTAGCGGCCAACGATATTTAATACCCTAGATACACCACGTGCGCTCAAAATGTGTCCCAATCAAGATGTGCTTGAACAAGAATCAAGTACTTCTTGGTTCACATTCACACGCGGCTGTTGAATAGTCAACACGCCGCTCAGCTCTGTGAAAATATGCAAAAAAAATGCTTATAGTATGTAAAATGACGTTTTTTCGACAGGTTGTTATAAACAATCATATTTGTTAATTTAACGCATTTGAAGTAATTTTTGTTATAATACTTACTATAAACGGATTTAATAGAAAATATTTGTGATATTCAAATGCATGGTCGGTAATATAGCCATCTCTTTCTCACGGTCCGTACCTGCTATATTACTAACAGCGCATTTCGAATTGCACGTAGAGTCAAATAAATAAGGTCTATATTCTTCCGCATAAAACAATAAGTCGTAAAATTTTACGAGCTTACATTTCGGACTGTCAGAAGTCTTTGACGGATGCGTTTTAATTAAAACCTTACACTGTATGCTTTAAAGGTGATTTTCAATGTTAAATAATGCCTTATTTTGTTTAGACTTCGCGATCATCTTACGGAACTCCGTGGATCGTCCAATGTACCTTGTGGACAGGTTTCGGGCATGATTTTGTTCGTGTTGGTGTATCTAGTTTATTTAATATCGTTGGTCGCGCCACGTTACTCTAGTGCTGAACAAAACAAGTCAGGGATGCTGCATGGGTACGACTGGAGAGACAATCGGCGCAACACATGCCCACCCGCACACCTCGTTTCCCCCAACACATCTTAATTTTTACTTCTGCGCAATAAGCGACTTATACCCCTGCTTATGCAGGGGCGTCTCGCCCTTTGCAGCCTACCGCCTCTTTTTTATATACTGAGAAGTTTGCAGTTCAAAAATAATTTTGTCGGTGCTTATTACTATTTATCTATACCATATGTGGTTCCGTTGGGACCACAGGTGCATAATGGTTTACCGTGGTCCTGCCAGTATGACAAACCGGTGGGACCACGGGACCACATATATGAACTACTCGTATTTTCCGCTCATTCACATTTCACAATCAAAAAAAAATATTTTAAGCATTTAACTGCTAGATTTATAAAAATCTAAAGAAAATTTTACTACATATAGAAAAAAATAGGTATATGTATAAATTAGGATTTAGTAAAATTTCCTTAGACAATGATAAGTTTTCTTTTTTGAATTTTGAAGTAAGTATTAAGTACCTATTTAAGCAATTGGTAACCAGATTTTTATTACTGAAGAAATTTTTACTAGGAAAAATTGTTTCGCACGGATGGCGAGGCAATGGTTCGAATCCAACCGATGTGGTATCTTGGTCCAGTTGATTTTTTATTAACTAATAAAACTTTCTTCAGTAATAGCAGCTCTCTAAAACCTGTGTTTCTACTCGAGGCGTAAGAAAATAGTCCACTACGCCTGATGATAAGGGTAAATGGAGTTTAGTCGCGAAGATAACTTCTCACCTTGACACTTTACCGGCATCAACTCAGTGGGGGTTTTTTAGCTGGCTTATTATTCGCTAACTTTATTGACAAACACAGTGTGTAACTAAAGAGAAAATTGCATATTTATCAAAGTTTTTAGAAGAAGTTTCATAGCGTTAAAATAATGCAGTAGTGGATAACTAAATAGCGCGGTGATTATAAGTTGCGGCACGAAACTCTAGCGCAGTACCCTTAGTACGAGTTTTTCAATTACGAAAACTATGATAGTTTTCGTGAGCTCGCACTCGTACTAAGGGTACTGATTTTATTGTTTTCGTTTCAATAAAAAAAAACAGTGTTTAAATTCTATCATTATATCATTTGCGTCTTTATAAATTTTAAGTATATTTGATTACTTTTCACTAAAATGGACATAGAAACATAATTTACAATTCGAAAACTATGGTAGTTTTCGCGAGCTCAAACTCGTACTAAGGGTACTGATAGTTATAACGCGCGCGTAAAAATTAAGATGTGTTGGGGGGAAACGAGGTGCGCGGGTGGGCTTGCGTTGCGCCGATTGTCTCCCCAGCGCATGCGCAGCTGTCCCTAACGCGTTTTGTTCAGCGCTAGAGTTACGTGGCGCGACCTATAATGCGATTCAAATAAGAATAGGAAATCCAATGACCTCCATCTGTCAAATGTCGCTTGAAAAGTACGGTTTGCAAAAAAATCTCGGAACACTTTTTTAGCACTCGTCTGATTCTAGAATAAAAACCAAAAATTTTTAAACAAACTAACAAATGTTGATAATAATAATTAATATTAGTTGATTTTTTTTCCTAACCTAAATTTTTGAGTAAGTAGTTGATAACCTAAATCGTCAACCAAATGTCACTTATTGTTACCTTCAGAAACTCGAATTAAAACTTTCGTTTACATATAGGATGCATGTTCCATACGAACATGACCTGCATGATTATTCATAACTTCTCCGGCGGTAATGCAGAGATGAGCCAAATTGAAGAGCTAGATTGTAATTAATGTTTTTTTTCACACAGTCATAATAAAGAAATACTATTAAAAATCGGTTATGTTCTTTCTCAACCTTAGTAAATTAATTTTATTAAAAAAATCGGATGTTTTGTCTCACTTAATCTTAGTAAATCAGTTTTATTAAATAGCAAATTTTTTTGCTCACTTTACCTATTTGGTTTGAATTGACAGCTATGGCGTCAAAATATGGCGCCCAGTCGGTCCTATTCTTAGTTAAATCGCATTATATATCATTCTTCTGTGAAAACCAGTTGGTCAGCCTACTGACATGACGCCAGGTGACAGCAATGAAGTGAAAGGTCTACTCATCCGTCAAATCGCGTTTGTCATCAAAGTCCCATGGATCAATTTAAATGCTCGTTCAATAAGTTCACAGTGGTGCCTACTGGTGACGTAAATTTTCACAAACACTCTCATTCCTTAACCCGTAGATTGAAAAATCAAGTTCCCCTCGTAGTCTCGAGTACTCTTCAAGTTCTTTATAAGATCAATAATATGCAATTGTACCTATCATAATTAAGTAGGTACAATTGCTATCGTTTTGTCGTTGTTTGGAAACAATAGTGAGAGGTTGCCAGTACAGTACCCTTAGAACAAACCACTATCGAATTCGAATAGTTTTCGAGTGCGAAATGTCAATGTCGTGCTAAGGGTACTTGTACTATCGCGGAATTTTGCGCTCTGTCACTTGGCGAACAAAATGCTTTGAACGGTTTTCTACAGTAGTTTTTACTACGCCCCGCCTTCGCGTCGGACGCGCCAATCCGGGCCGCCGCACAAAAGTAAGACAGAGAGCATTTCATTGTTGAATAATGAATTGAATTGCATTTGTTTTAGTTGCAATTTGTCATTCGCATCGTGATCGCGACAGCGCTATACGAAAAAGTAAGACAGCGATAATTACATGTCTATGAATGAATTTTTACTACGCCGCTACCGCAAGCGTTTATGGCATTATGGGTGACAGAGCGGGTCTTCCCGCGACTGTACATGCTATAGATTTTTACTGCCCGGTCAATGTATAGTGACGAGCGTCGCGTTCGTATCGCCAGTCTCTTTAATATTTCTCGTGGCCAGAAGGCTTAGGATATTCTGTATCCATACTAACATTAGGTCTTTACCTATGAAATTGCCTTTTTCATGAAATAAGTTAACGCCCTTTTTTCTACATTTTTTATTTTTATTAATCATAGTATAATTACCCATACAATCAATGCATTTTTGCCAACGTAGTGGAAGCTTATTGATGCCCTTTTTGAAAAACTCTGCTGG